TTGGGTTTTAAAAACAAAAAACAAATAGATAGACAATATCCCCAGATAGTATACAAATGATTTTAAGAGGTTCATAATCTTAAAAATGTTTAAAATGAAGATACTTTTATTCATATAACATTAAATTTATACTCAGATACTTGAATTCATGGTTTAAAACATACTAGCTAATTATTATAGGATTAAAAAAAAAAAACAAAGCCTCAGGACATGCCAGTTTTCAGTAGTTAATAAACATTAGACACACCAGTCCTTTAAAAATGTAAAAAACTATAAACCCTCAAGCCACGGCGGCATCCGCAATCACTTTCTTCTCTTTGTAGTTTTGGACGGCGGACTTGATAGCATCCTCAGCAAGCATACTGCAATGCAGCTTGACAGGAGGCAAGCGAAGATGCTTTGCAATTGCCCTGGAAAATTAGAGCACAAAATAGTAATATTGAGAAATTCAAAACAATGAATCTATCATGTCATCATTATCATACATTAGATCAAAGCTTAAAACTAAATATCATATCACTAGCTAGACTGGATTCCAGTAACAGAAACAGAGCTACAGTAAAGTATTGTCAAGGTCTAGAAGGGCACTTACGAGTTCTTAATGGTCACAACTTCAGATATTGTTTTGCCCTTGATCCATTCAGAAGCTGAAAAAGAAATATAAGGAAATATCTGAGTTTAAAAAAAAAAAAAAAAAGCAAATCTGCTCAATGATAAAAGCATACCGACGGAAGAAGCGGCGATGGCGGCAGCACAGCCAAAGGTTTTAAATCGAGCGTCAGTGATGTGACCGGACTCATCGACCTTAATCTGGAGGGCCATCAAGTCCCCGCAGGCAGCTGTTCCAACCCGTCCTGTGCCAACGTTGGGATCGTCCCTCTTGAAGGACCCAACNGGGTACCCGAATATATCCGAAAGAGATTTATATACCTATATATATTAGTTGTTTTTAGATTTAATGTATATATAAAAAACATTCAATATATATAAAATACGTTGTAGTTGTTCAAAATACTTGTAAATATATGTAAATAGTCAAACATACATGTCTAAAATTACTAAAGTACACTTAAAACATCAAAAATACTTTAAAATTTTTTTGATTCACAATCCAAATATTCAAATCAAACTAATTTATATGTTAATTTTAGGCATTTTGACTTATGTTATTCAATTATTTGTAATATGTTATTTTCTTTATAGAATTTTAGAAATGTAAAGTATATAATCAATTTTAAAATTTTAAAAATAATTTAAATGGGTTATCCGAACCCGAACCGAACCCGCAAAGATCCGAAACGAACCCGAACCAAAATTTAGAAATATCCGAATGGGGCTAATATTTGTGAACCCGAAAACCCGAAACCCGAATAGATCTGAACCGAACCCGAATGGGTACCCGAACGCCCACCCCTAAATTTTAGAAGGAGAAGAGGAGAGAGTTCACATGTTCTCTTTGGAGGAGAGAAAGATTTTGAAGAATTCAGAGACCGAGAAACAGGCAGAATGAGGAAGAAGAAGAAACACAAGTTCGTATACTAAAACTACTGATGAATGTGTTTTGTCGGTAATTTGGGGTAGTTATATTATTATCCTGTTCATGAACTTTTAGGCAATACATTTTTTTGGGTCATTTTCAATAAATATGGATTATTCATAGGTAAAATTTATTAAATTAATTTAATTGGCTGGTTGATCACTTTCGAGATAAAAATATGCCTAATTTGTCAGAAAATGTTGAAAAAATTGCATATTGTGTGATTAGTCAATCAGCACACTGAAACCCCAATTCCATAGGAAATCCGACAAAAATGTCAACGGATTACCGATGGGTTTGGGTTTTAAAAACAAAAAACAAATAGATAGACAATATCCCCAGATAGTATACAAATGATTTTAAGAGGTTCATAATCTTAAAAATGTTTAAAATGAAGATACTTTTATTCATATAACATTAAATTTATACTCAGATACTTGAATTCATGGTTTAAAACATACTAGCTAATTATTATAGG